TTAGGATTCTGGGGGTATTTTTGAAAAGAAAATCGGAAACCGGGGGTCAAAACGTAATTTAAAAAAATTATGCCCCGTCAGCGCCACGTCAGCAGCCACGTCAGCAGCCCTGGCCAACCAGGACCTGCCGCGTGGCAAGACCACGTCGACCTGGGAACAGGCCACGTGGCGATCCGCGTGCGCGCGATCAGACGGCCCAGATGAGTCCCCGCGCGCACGGACGGCCCAGATTAAGCGTGCGCACGGACGGCCTAGATGCAAGCACACGGACGGCCCAGATGCACGCGCACGGACGGCCCAGATTCAATCGCGCACGGACGGCCTACATTTAATCAAAATAGATGGCTGTGATCAAAAGACAAAAGGGTATAAATAGAACTCCCACACCTGACCATAAAAACCCTAGCCGTCTGCCCTCGCCGGAGAAGACAAACCATACGCCGGAGGAGCTGGCCGCCGCCACCCGCCGCCGCACCGGGGAGTTTTCCGACCGCCGATCAAGGTAAATTTCATACTCCCGGCTCGTTTTTCCACGCTGAGTTCCCCTGTGGCCAAATCGGAGCTAAAATCCTGGCCAAACAGCCGAAACCCAGCGGCGCCGCCGTCCCCCTCCTCAATTTTTGCCTCCGATGAGGCCCTTCCCGGCCTCCGTTTGATACAATTTTTATATCACCGTGATCACCATTCCTTTCTCTACAGGTTGATCGGAGCCAAATCACCAAAACACGAACCTCGCGGGAGAGCCGCCGCACCCGAGAGCACCGCCACCGGTAAGCTTTGGTTTTTCGTAATTTTTTGGCCCCCCGAGGGCCCTAGGATTGTTTTATCACAGGGACCGATGCAAGTGTGGCCGAATTAGGCCGGAAACGGCCGAAAACAGCCAACCCAAGGCGAATTGCCGCCGCTTGCGGCGACGCCGTCGCCGGAGCACGGCGGAGCCGCCATGCCGGAATTGCGATATTGGCCGAAAGGGGCCCTGGGTCTAATTTGGGATTTTTTGGGACACGTGCAGGTACCAGTAGTGCGTTTCAGTTCCCCGGAAAAAATTCAGAGAAAATTAGGGACAGCCTGCAGGCGCACTGTAGAGCCGTATTCGGACTCCGAAACAAGTAAGGACCCCTCACCCTATTTTCTATCACGGTATTAAAGTTCAATAAATAATAAAACGGTATTTTATGAATCAATAGATGTGTGAAATTGTTTAAGGTCGCTAATAGAGCCCGAGTCTGGTGTGTTTGTCTGTTAGCTGTTGTTTGGCCTATTTTACGGCTTTAAATGCAGTATGAGGTCTGATGTTTTCATTTCATTATTTCGTGTGTATATATCACTGTTTTATTGATTATAGGTTGAATGACTGAGAACCCGATGTTGTATGTTGTCTTGTTTGGCATAAATTACTGGTTTGCTTGTTTCTGTGTGAATTGATGAGGCTGACTGAGGAAAAGGGGAATGAAAGGTTATGTAAATTGATAATTGTATAATGTGGTCAGCCTGACTAGATATCCTGGGAGATGGTGGACGGACCGGGTCCGTAGGGAACTCTACCGGGATCGTGGTCTCTCATACCAGACGGGGTATGGAGACCTTATGTGTTTTGGCGCCCATACCGGACGGGGTATAGGGACGGCCCGTTTTCACCCTCATACCGGATGGGGTATTGAGGTTTATAGTTTTGGCGCCCATACCGGACGGGGTATGGGGACGGCCCTGGAATCTGATTACAAGTGTTAAGGGTTCAAGGGTAGCGGGACCCCTATGGATCCCCATGGATACTAGTAGGCTGGTAAATAAGGAAAAATATGTTGTGAAATGATTGAATTGCAAAGGTGTGATAAGTATTATGTTATACAGTTCATATGATTTCATGATGATGATAATGTTACTGCTTTCGTATATTGTTTTATGAATTTCACCGAGGTAAGTGGATTGCGAGAATTTTATTATTGATAAAAGAATTTGTTGTAAATTATGCTCCATTGGTCTTTTTGTGTTTTCTACCCACCTTTACCTCCGTGACGGTGAGATAGTGTGACGTCTTTACTGGACTGGTGTAGCTCATTCCTTATTTAATCATTTCAAATCAGGAAGACATTGTTCCCGAGCCTGTTCCGCAGGAAGACGGCGAAGGGGACGCCTGAAGACTCCGTAGTTATATTTATAGCTTTTTTTTTCGAGTTTCTCTTTTAGTTAGTTTGTTCTTTTATACTTTGAGCACGTTTTTGGTTTTAGTGTAAGGGATGTTAATCAAATTTTTATTCCGCTTCCGCATTTGCCCTTTTTAATACACATATTTCATTTCAAAATTCCGGAGCCGTTACAACCTTTAGTCGTTAACTTTTCTGTTATTCAAGATTTGAATCTTGGTCGTCATAATATGAAATTGTTAAATAAGGAAAATGAGTTACATTAGCACAGTAAGAATATCGACACTTAACAATTGATACCAAAAGTTGGTAAAAATCATAAAATAATCAATTGAGCCATTTTTTCCTTTTTGGTAAATTTATTTAATTTTAAAAACGTCATTCACACTGACCTTTTAGGTTCTCAAATAAGACTTGTGAAGACAATAATTAAGGTAGCAATTTATTAGGCATTTTAAGAAATAACAGTAATCAAAATTTAGCTTTTTACTTACCTATTGATATCTCTAGGGGTCCTTAGGGGTTTTCTCTACACGTGAACTCAATATCAAATCTATTAAATAATTAGTTGTCCCCCCATACCCCGTCTGATAATGAGCGTCAAACGTACCACTGCTTCAATACCTCATTCGGTATGATGGTGAACAAATACCTCCAAACCCCTTCCGGTATAGGACTTCTCAACCTTGTTCAACTGAAATAATGTTTATGGTAGGGTTTTCCCTATATACTGGGTCCGTACACCATTTCCCATGAGACCTAGTAAGCCTTCCACAGACATATCCTCATTATCAACTAATCACCAATTACATATAAAAATCTTGTTTTATAATTTCAGAACATTATAATGATAATATAATTTGGTACTTTAATCATTAAGAAAATATTGTCAGAGCATTTATTTCAAACCAATTAACAGATAGAGATAAAACGGTTAAGTAAGCTAATGAACGAGAAGACAATTAAAATCAATAAATTAAAGCATACGATGTTATAGTAAGCAATTTAGGTAACATAACAACAAATAGACAATACAAATAAACTATACACTAACTAGTTGCCGGCTCCATCGGTGACTTGTATTTCGTTAATAAAAAGTTGCTAATATTCATAAATTTCACCGTTTA